CAACCACCAAATAATAAATAAGACAATAAAGCAATAATAAAGGGAACACCAGAATTTACGAGGATCGGCTAATTTTGCCTACTCCTCAGACACAACCAAATATTTTATTCCACTCCAAAAATACAAGTGAAATAATACTAAAGAGAGAAGATACAAATGCCTTAAACAGATGAGAAGGCAAATGAGAGGTGTGTTTCAATCCTAAACATTAGGCCTTCTTTTATAGGGGAAAAATCCCCCCCAAACTTAACTCCCAACCAATGTGGGACTTTGGCATTTTGCCAAACTTCAACAAAAATAACTTTTATAAACTTGTCATTGATCTTCTTGACTTCTCCATGATAGTCCCTTGTGCTCATATGTGGAGCTTATTGCTGAAATTGTTGAGTTTGGTTTGGTAGGCTCTGCTATCAGCAGGTACGGACACCACAATCGTAACGCTGACATGGACTTTATCTTTACTCCTAAACAACTACCAAGCACTACAAAAGGCCCAAGATGAGCTAGATGTTCACGTTGGGAAGAACAGATGCGTTCAAGATTCAGATATCAAGAACTTGGTGTATCTTCAAGCTGTTGTTAAAGAAGCATTGCGTTTATATTCAGCTGCACCGCTCTCCGTACCACACGAGTCAATGGAGGATTGTACCATTAGTGGCTATGATATACCAAAAGGCACTCGCTTACTAGTGAACATTTGGAAGATTCATAGCGATCCAGATTTATGGCCAAATCCTCACGAGTTTTTGCCAGAGAGGTTCTTGACGACACATAAGGATGTCGATGTTAGAGGAACTCACTTTGAGTTGATACCATTTGGTAGCGGAAGAAGAATGTGCCCTGGAATTTCTTTCGCCCTTCAAGCTGTGCCTTTTGTATTAGCTGGGTTGCTACAGGGGTTTGAACTTAAGAGGCCTTCGAATGAACCAATTGATATGAGTGAGAGCTTTGGATTGACAATCCTTAAAGCTTCTCCTCTCGAAATTCTTCTTGCTCCTCGCTTGGCTCCCAACCTTTACGAATGAAAATGCTAATGAAGTTTTGTGCCTCGTGCCAATGGTGTATACTCAGTTTGTACTAATATTGAAGTGAAAATAATAAGACGACTTCAAAAGTTATACATTTCAATTTTCAAGTGTGATTGTAGAACTTTTGACATCATCTTACAAATGACATTAATTATTTTTAGAGTCCTGCATTGGAAATTTCAAGTTGTAAACTTTGGATCCGTTCAGCTGAAGTTTTTTTTCTTCAAAGTTTCTGTCAACGTCTTTGGTGTAATTTTCTCTCGATCGGAACTACATCGCCATAATTTTTCTAAGAACAAAATGTTTTGATTATTTGATACATCAAAAGTCAATGTAAGTTTTCTGCCTTATGTTATACATAGATGCTAAAGTCACGTCACCAATAGCTTAATGACCTTAGTTTCACTCTCACGTGGACCGTGAAATCTAGCATAATTTTTTGTCTTATCTAAGAACAACTCCTTTCATAACTAATTAGTCATCTAATTAAGCGTTCGTCTTCTCGAATCCAACGCAATGGATCTCCACCATTTCATTGCCTCTACTGCCTTCACAAAATTTTGGGCCTCATTGCAGACAAATATGGGCCAATCTTCACAGTAAAATTTGGGGCCCATCAGGTTTTAATGGTGAATGATGGATAAAAATTGTACGGGGCGCTCTATTTGTTTGCCCCCATTTAACTTATACCCATTTTTTTAGAAGTTTTAACTTGTACCCACATTTTAAACAACTTCAGCCCCGTTTCTCCTCCTCCTTCTCCTCCTTTGTTTTCTTCTTCTTCTTTCTTCGTTAATTGTTCTCTTTATTCTTAACATCGAGTTATCTTCTTTCGATGTTGCAGGTTCTATTGACCAAATATAAGAGCCTGCCTCCCCTATTTCAGGACACACCTAATGCTATCCAAGAGTTGACGATTGCACGTAATATGTTCCATCCTTTTTTATCTGATTTTATTTTACTTCTTTGCTTAATTGCTTTATGACTGACTTTTGAAACATTGATCGGAAGTATATAAAGTAATATGAAAGTTTGTAAGATGGAAACGCGAAACAAATATAGATGCTTACACATTTTTATGTGTGAGACAAGAGCAAATCAGAAAAACTTCAGCTCTGGAGCTGAAGTTCGCCAGTTATAAAACAAAAACTTCAGCTCTGGAGCTGAAGTTCGCCAGTTATAAAACAAAAACTTCAGTTCTAGAGCTGAAATTCGCTAGTTACAAAACAAAAACTAAAGCTCTAGAGCTGAAGTTCGCCAGTTACAAAAACAAAAACTTCAGCTCTAGAACTGAAGTTCGCCAGTTACAAAAACAAAAATTTCAGCAAATAGAGAACAAAACTCCAGCTACTATGCTTAAGTTCAACAATTACACACACTTGGTTCAGCACACTTGCTACTTCAGTCCCGTCTACTAGAATGCTGAAGTTTTGACGTGATTGTCTTTGCTACTTCAGCCCCGTATGCTGAAATTACGCAAAAAAGTGAATACGCTTGTAATTTTTTTAAAAACAGGTATAGATGCAAATGCCCCGATGATTGGAAGATAGCCCAAGATTGTTTAACCACTACCGACAAGGCCTTGGCGAGCCGACCAAAGGCGCTTGTAATATTGCAGTTTATCTAGAAATCTGTACAAAATCTTTTTTGTCTTTCCTTAAGACTAACATAATTCAAACCCTGACCGCTGAAAACCTTAAAGCAATCTTCTATTTTAATGTTAAAGCTTCTTAATTATTCATGGATTATAATTTTAAATAAGGTAGGAGCTAATGCATTTCTTGGCATGAATCCCTAAGGTCCTGCACCCACACCCACACCAACAACAAATTCACGTTTTATGTGCTTCTGCGTCAATTTGATGAATTAAAACACACAACCTGAAGTGTCAGCTTAAAATTGAACCTAAAATAACTCAAGAAATATTAGTCATGATCTCTTCTGTAAGTAAGCTCCTGAAATAATGGCTTAACTGCAGATTTTTTGGAAACAGGGAGAAATCGTTAAAGGTGGCAAATAATTAGTGGCTCAAATAGTTCGCTCACTCAATCATTATCAAACGAACTACAATTCAATGCTACGAAATGCAGCTTAACAAGTGGACCCTAAAAACGCTTTCTTAATTATGCTATACTGGGAGACAATGTTGGAGGTTGCTTCTGTACATGAAATTAATTTTTTTTTTTTTTTTTTTTTTTTTTTTTTTTTTTTTTTTTTTTTTTTTTTTTTTGCAGATGGGCCAATATCCAGACTTAGGATTTGGGCAAGGCCAACTTACACACATATCAATTATTCTGTCTTGTTTCTATTTCTGTTTTTATCTTTTTCCTCCCTTTTCTTTTCTTGTCTGGATTGGCTGCAATCAGGTACTTGATTCTACAAGTATTCCAAGTTCGCCTTGGCCTGGACATCATCAATCCATTATCGCAAGCTCGCACAAGGTACTGCCTTCTTGCCACCCTGGACGGAGCCACTTCTGTGCTTCCCCTTGTTTTAAGAATGTCTTTTTTTTCTTCCTTCATTGTTTTGACTACTAACTATAAATCTCATATATAAGTTAGATACTAATAATGTAAAGAAATAAAATGACACTATCAGTAACAGCAGATTAAGTTCGTTCTTTTTCCAAATTATCAACTCATGCTTATATATATATAGTTAAAAATCATGTTTAGTTGATTTTTAACTACTCGATACTGTAAAAATTCTTTTTCACTGTTAGCCTATTCACATTAACTGGAAAAAGAAAAGAGAGGAACAAATAAAAATGATGAGCCTATTTGAGATATTATATCAAAACTTTTAGAATATTTTTACCTCCATATATATATTAGGCATCATATATACATATGAAAACTTTAAAAAGTTAGTTACGTTGGGATGGAATGGCATGGCGTTCAATTGGTTGATGGAAATGGCTGTGATGTCTCAGACTCAGCATCTCAGAGATGAGGCAATATCATTGGGAAGAAAACCAAAACTTAATTCTGAAGTACATAGTCTTGGGGAAATGGCTGAGCTTTTATGATCACTTGCATGTGTTGACCCTTTCATGGCCAGGCCAGCCAGCTCGCCCCATGTGAGTGTGATCAATACCACATTACGCATAATATTCATGGCCCATGGGTTAATATAACGAGGAACCAACCCTTGGCTATTAAAACCATAAGATGCCTTCTAAGCCTTGAAGAAATTCTGATTAGCGCGGTTCTTTTTCTCGACCAATTTAAATTTCATTTCATTTTTGATTTTAAAGATTGTAGAGTAGTAAGTAGTTAGGCGGATTTCAACGCATGTATTAAGAATCTCCAAAGAAAATTTATCTTATAGTTAACTTTCGATCATATAGATTCTTGAAAGGTGGAGGACATCCGCAAACTTTAAGGTCGTAAGTAAAATCAAGACTAGTTTGAGGTATTATCCTTTCATATTTATACTTATTGTCACAAAAGAATAGTAGATGCAGTAATAATCTGCGCCTACTAACTTAAAATCTTGAATCTACCTCGAGCTGGGAAAAACTCTCAAATCTCAGTATCTGCGTTAAAATCTAATGATAAACATATAGGATAAATTAGTATATATTGCGTACAGAATGCGTTAGAAACCAAAAGTCTTCATGAAATAAAGAGGAAAAAATAGTAAAGGCGATATTCTAAGATTAGGAAATTGATTGAGTAATAATGAGGTAACAAAATGAATGGATGCATTGATGGTGTAATAAGTGTAATCACATGATTTTTCGTGTGACCTGTCTTGAAAACAACATGGCGGGCCTAATGCAAATGGCAGCTTCTCATGTTTTCCCTTACTCTGAAAGCTGAAGCTGATCAATATTTCTACATAAATACAAATGTACACTATAAAGTATTCAGTCTCTAGTCCTCATCTTTGCATCCCAACACTATATTATTTTCCATACATCATTATCATGCACTTCTGCGGTCAGGGGGCCAAGAAAATTGGTGGCCTAAAGCCAATTTTTAATCTAAGGCCTATCGGAAGGAAAAAAATTTTATCTATATTTTTAATGGAAGTCTATTTTTCTATTTTTTTAAGATGTAAAGTTGTTAATAGTTTCTTTTATAAATAATTTAATCTCTCCTAAGATATTATTGATCTTAGATAATTGAACTAGATTCACGAAGTTTATAACTTGATATCAAAATAATTTTTGATGTTCTAATATACTTGTTGAAATGCTTGAAACATGAGGGGGGGAAAAAGGAAAAAAAAGAATGCGCAATATAGTTTTATTCAATGGTACTCTTCAACTCTTGTTTTTTATAGAAAAAATAAAACTCTTTTTTTTTACAGAGAACAATATAACTTATCGAGAACTTAAGCTTTTTTCTGTAGAAATCAAGAAGAGAATATAACAATGTAGTACCCGTTTTCTGATGAGAAAGATAAATAATAAGACTTGGACTATTGAATTGCACGTTTTTTTAGTGAAAAATGTAAAAGAAGAATAATAATATAGGTACCTCACTAATGATGTCAATCGTCAAATTTAAATAATGAAAAGTTTTATATTCGTGACGACGGTTTAGGGGGAGTGATTCTCTTTCTCCAATTTTTTGCTTAAACGGTTACATCAATACTAAATTAAAATTTATATTTACTTTTTATAAAATAATTTATTTTTTTTAATTTTAACATATCCAATATATTTAGACCCTACCTCTAAAGATTACTGTGAGATGTATATGATCCAACTTACCTTATATTGGGTTCGAGTCATGTGGTTGAAATAAATCCTGTTAAAACGTGTTCTCTCTTTTACTAGGCTTTATATGATACGAATCTATATTAGTCAGGGAGCGCAATACAAATACGAGTAAAAAACAATAAAAAAAATTTGGGGGCCTAAAACCGTTGCTTTAGTGGCTTGACCCTTGGGCCGCCCCTGTCTGCAGCTCACACCCAATTAGTCTGTTTTGCTTGGCTGTTTATGTTTACGCTGAGCTTTCTTGATTCCTTTTATATGCGCATAGGACCTTTAACTTATACATATTGATTGTACTAGTATATTAATGTTATTTAACATATTGTAATAAATTACTACTCTTCTTTTACATGACTTTATCAATCCACATGGTAGTCATATGTACTTAACAATTTAGGTAACTTGGCATAGCTAAGTTTAATTAATTTCTTCT